TAGAGCTTCAAAATCTTCATAGAGCTTCATTTCGACACGACCATTTTTCACTAAGATACAGCCAAAAAATCAATGAAATTCTGATTTTTTCCTTCGAAATGCAAAGCCATATGTTTTTTTAGATGTACTGCCTTAAGATCAAAAGAAAATTTCCTAAAGCTTTCGTCTATACCATTTTTTCTAAATAAAAAGGTAAAAAGATAAGGGGAGTAAATAGAATGTCTCCAAAAAGTGATTGAAGTAATGACAAGAACAAAAAAGTGTTTTTCTGTTTTCTGTTCAACTACAGTTTTTTGACACTTAGGAAACAAATAAAATGTTAACAGATTTCGAAAAATTATATTAGAATCAGATATACAGTAGTTATGTCACTCTTCACAATAATTTTTACGTATATTTTCTTTGCATAGCATTCCCTTAAATTGCGTTAAGTTGGTGAGTGCAGCCGAAATCACAATTTACGGGGAAACCAATTTTATAGCACCCCACGAAAAGTTCGCAGCTGTAAATAATTCATCTAATTAGTTTTATTGGTGGAGGCTCCGGTGAATGCGAATGGGGATGTTGAGGAGGGAGGTAATAAAATGGTGGCACTAATGCCTAATGTTATAATTTAAGGCGGAAAGGAATTAATTTAACGATTTGGCCTGTAAGAGCAGCATTATTAATGGATGATTGTATAATGACGTTTATTTTGTAGCCTATTTGCCGGAGGATTAGAATGGCGACGTAATGATAAATTGAACGACGCTGCGATGTGTATATTTTTCAAGTAAATCTACGAAATATTTTAATCAGAGTAGCAGCGTAAAATTAACAAATCATTGAAAGTCATAGGAAATACGTTAATGGTAAATAATGATGACAATATTATACAGGATGTTTCTAAAATATGGTTCCAAACTTCTGCTGCGTTTATAACTCATTAAAATAAGCCAAAAAGTTCCTATTAACGTGTGCCCTAAAACGCACCCTTAGGAAGTTATATGCCCTTAAAAGGGCTCAAACTAAACTGTCTTTTTTTCTGTTATTGACAAAACGGACCCAAATAAATAGAAAAAATTTTATAGGTCTTACATAACTTTTTACGTTAAATATCATGGGCTACTCCATTTTTCGACATGCAAAACATATGCGTCCCATTTAGGTTGGTTAAGGGGATTTTCGGGCCATAATTTTTTTTATTTCTATTTTTTTACAATTTTCTCTACAGATTTATAAAACTTTAACAATTTTACGTAAAAATATTGTCTTTGTCCAAATCGATATTTCCAATGGTTTTCGAGTAAATTTAGTTTGAAAATTACTCTGCTCTTTAAGTTATTAGGCCAAAAATTACAAAAATCTGTTTACCACGGCAAATAAAAGACTGACGTTGCCACAACGCTTAACAATTTAAGTTATTGATAAACTGTCAATTGAGCTTTGCAGTGTTTAATTAGTAAAAGTGGTGAGTGGAAAATTTAAGTATACAACATTATTGCAACTCATAAAATGGAGTCATATTAAAACACGGAAATGGCAGATATGCACTTTATGTACGGCTGTGCGGCTGGAAATGCATCAGAAACGAGGCGTCCGTATGCGGCAGCATACCCGAATAGAAGACTTCCTTCTCGACAGGTATTTAAGAGGATCCATCAACGGAGAGAAAATGGTTCGTTCCAACCAAGAGTAAGTGATCGACACAGAGACAGATTTGTAAGAACACCGGTGATGGAAGAAAATGTATTGAGAAAATAAGAGATGCAAAATTCGGAATCCGCCTCGATTTTCGCATACGTGCGACCCTTCTTACACTAACCCTTGGAATGTCCTGCACAGCTCTCAATACTAATATCTCAATAAGGGGCCGAAAACCCCCTTCACCAACCTAAATGGGATGCATATAATTTGCATGTCGAAAAACGGAGTAGCCCATGTTATTTAACGTAAAAAGTTATGGAAGACCCATACATTTTTTTCTATTTATTTGCGACCGTTTTGTCAATAACAGAAAAAAAACAGTTTATGTTTTAGCCCTTTTAAGGGCATATAACTTCCTAAGGGTGCGTTTTAGGGCACAAGTTAATAGGAACTTATTGGCTTATTTTAATGAGTTATAAAAGCAGCAGAAGTTTGGAACCGTATTTTAGAAACACCCTGTATAGTCTGTTTGATTATAAAGGCCCCGAACTGGGTTACCTATTTTTGAGCACCCTGTAAAGTATATATATTTTTAAATGGGATGTTACTTTCTTTATATTGACGTACAATTTTTTTTGTCGCTCTGTAGATGAGTCATCGATATTTTTTTTAAATGGGATTGTATAATTTTTTTGCACGTTTTGATTGATATTTTTATTTCCTTTACAACCATATGGTATTTGTATGCTTTACATAACGAAATTTATGGGAAAAAATGAGAAAACTTTCAGTCTTTACGGTGCTCGCTTTCAAATAGAAGGCGCTGGAAAACCAATTTTGTATGCTGCTATCTGTCACATATCGGTTTTTTTGCATTATAAACTACTGGACTCGCCCAACTGTCATTTGCCTATATAAACGGCAATCGCACAGACGTGTGCGAGAGAGATAATGCTATTGCGGGCTTATGCTTCGTTCACAGAACTTCGACTGTAGCGCGCTACATTTAAGTCAACGAATCAGCTAGCTAGCTATACTTGATTCCTTACCCCTTTTTAGCTGTTGGGCCGTATTACCGTTTGAAGTTAAAATGATTTTAACTACATTTATATGTGGCTTCTACACTGAAAGTAGCGGTAGCGGTAGGCTACAATTACATTATTTAGTACCTGCCCCAATAAATATATTTTGCTTTCTGGGAATTTACAAGCCATATAAATTATACTTTGAATTAGCCGAGATTATTCCAAATAAATGTATTTAGCAAATGAGATTAGAATAAGTAGGCTGTAAACATAAATTAGTTGTTTTTATTAGAGTACATAAGCACAAACCGAGTAGGTAATGACCCGGATAAGTGTTAATTAGGATAGGGTAATAAAAGTAGGTACCTGGGGACAAGGATAAAAACCGAAAACATTTCGAGGCACGAGTCAGAAGTCTTGAAGCCTAGGTCTTGCTCGGTTGTGTCTCGTGTTACCAGCGAAATTATTAGAATAAAGTTTTCCATGCCACTTAGAGTTTTTCTCCTCACTTGAAGATCAAACCACTATAAAAGTATGGTTAAGTTAATTTTGAAAAATTATTTATTAGGTTTCTAATTATATTCAGAATAATCTCAGATCTACAAAGACTTTATAAAAATAAAATAGAGACTAGAAGACAAAAAATTTCATGAAAAATATTAGATATATTAATTCTATGAGTAAAACTACACTTATGGTATTAAGAATTTTTTATCTTAACTCAAATTGAATTAAATTCGATTTCTCTTCTTTTGACAATACATAATTGTACCAGTAATTAATTACTATTAATGAGTAAAAGCATGAGCATTATTTGTTTGTATGGCATTTCTGTACAAATTAGAGGTATTAACGGGGGAAGGTAGTAATTAGAAATTTAAAGTCAAAGATGTTTTATTATACATATTTTAAAAAATATTCATAGTTACAATTTTCCAAATAGTTTTTATGATGCCTTCTTTATGTATTTCTCCATTTATTTTCTTCATAACGTAAGTTCGATCAGTTAAAATTACTGCAAGCTCTTCTGAAGTAGTTGTTTTAAATAGTTCATATTATCTTCCTTTGCGCAAAACTATAGCGATTTTTTAACATTTGCTAAAGCATACTATAACCATAATTCAGTTGAAACTGTTTATTTTGGTCATTATTTTCAGAAAGACGCGCAAAGTATAAACATGTTGGTGCCATCATAACCTCTTTTATGACTATGGAAATTTATTTTTTTCTCCACTTAAACGTCCCTTTACGCAATTGATCACTGAACACGATTGCACCATATTTAGTTTTCACAAATATTTCATATGCACTAAATCATACACAAAAATTTAGAAAAATTTTTACATGACTTCTACTCTAAGGCTTGTTTATGTTTCTATTTGATATGATTTAGAAAGCGAGAACTGTAAAGCAAAAGGCTGAAAGTTTTCTCATTTTTTCTTTATGCGAAGGCATAAGCACAAATTTCATATGGTTGAAAACAGCAAGAAGAGCGCCAGAAGAAAGGGCCCTAGCCGGCGGGGATAGGACAAAAGGAGGTCCCACAAAACGCCTACACCGGCCGCAATTGCGGTATGTTAAATATACAGGGTAAAAAGTTATTAACTAACTTTTCGGTAAAATTTGTCGTAAGTGGCGCCCTCTATTAACAATGCTGAAATTACAACACGCATCCTATTCGTCGCCTAAAAAAATATAGTTCCTAACCTACATATTTTCAGAATAATCGCAAAAAAACTATTTAAAATTTTAACTTTCAGCACCCTGTATTTCCGAAACTATCAACTTTCGGATAAGGCATGTTTGCGCCAATGGTCACCATTTCAAACTTTCGACTTTCCCATTGTTAATGAATCACCCTGTATACACTTTACAGGTTGTCCAAAAAAGGATAACCGAGATATAGCTTGGGACTTTATAATCAAACAGACTGTATATTATTTATTTATAAGTGATTCTAAAAAATTATAAAAAATTTGACACTTGTTTAAAAAACAGTAAAATTCTGTACTTTTTACTCCTTGTATATAACTAACTAATTCCAACAAATTCAATGCTACATCTCGTGATCACTGCTACTAATTACGAAGCGGCCAAAAATGGCAAAAAGCGACCTCGTCTGCGAGTATTATGAAAGCATCACCAGTGTACAAATACAAAATATTTCTTGAACTGCTCTAATATTAGATCTATTTTAGCAGGAACCAACTGCTCAAATATTTGCCACAGTTTCGAATTATTCCCCGACTACAGCTAAAACAAATCCATTATGGAATGATTAGCTTATTGGATTACATATCGATGTAACTTAAGAGCATCCACTTTAAGACGTCTATTTCTTATTTTCAGGCAAGAATGTCGTTCTCGAAGTACAACGTCAACGCCTTGACAGACCCCCTTTCGGCCCTTCCATCGCCCATCATCCGCCGACCCCGTCAGAACTCGGTGTTCGTGGGCAGCTCCACCATAGCCATGCTGAACCCGCCCCCGCGACGGGTGAAGTCCGCCATCGACATCCAGCATCTCGTGGTTAACGAGCACAGTCCCACAGCATCACTTACAGGTAATAAGAAATGTTACAGGGTGTGAAATTTCAGAAAAATGCTCAATTTGGAAGTTACTTTAGAAATGTTTATATCACACCATGATTTAGTAAAAATTCCACACAACCATTCAATCAATCCTCGCAAATTAACTTTTTTACAGAAATAAGTGGAAGTAATACGACATTATTGTTTTTGGGCCCATACTTTCCCGTCAAACTACGGAAGGGTAAAAAAAATTTACATATACAATACTTAATATGAGTGAAAAAAATATATCTCTTACCAACAAAACAGACAGCAAATAATTGGTAGTGAGTTAAAATGCCATATTACTCAAGCTGAGAAAAATATGTTTTATTATAATAGTGAATAGGTTTTGTTTAGAAAAACGTGAAGGAATATGGCAGTTTATTGTCCTTAAGGAAGGGATTTTCTACAAAAAATATCGCTCAGCGTGTCACGAAACGGGACCCCGGCAAGTGCTGCTCTACCGGTCAACGCTTCAAGGTGTGTTGTTAAATAATTTACGCTGGTCCGATATTTTAACAGACCTCGCGCCCGATTTTTCAGGAACGACTCCCATTTGTGTACATACAGCCTTATAAGGAAATAGAGTAAAATTAATCATTAATAGATTATCGAGGACAATAATAATTTTTTTATTAAGTAGGCAATAATTTTTAGTTAATAAGCTTAAACAATCTTAGAATTACCATTCCTTTATTATAAAAGCAGATATAATTTTTAAAATTACAAGTAGTTTCTTCTTCAAAAGCTTAAAAAACGTATAACAGGATAACAGGAATAGTCAACAGTCTAATGTTTATATTTTCACGTTAACAATCCGATACGTAAATTACCTGCTATTTTCAGTAAAAATGATTTAACTTGAATTATTTTTTTACTTTGGTGAGTCGTATTAATTTAAAAAACACTGCCTAATTACTAAAATATATAGAAACTTGCTACTAATTACGTTTGGAGAATAATATGTAGTAGGGTGGTCCAAAAAAAAAAAAACGATTTTTTTTCGTGTCT